TTTCTGTACATATACAAAGTCAAAGACAAATTCTATTAGTACTTTTAAAAACTCAGCCAGCAACAGTGATGAAGAACGGATCGTTTCTACCTAAAGTAGATTTTAGAGTACATCACTCACCCTAGTTTCGAATACTTGTGCAGATTCTAGTACAATAAACCACGGTTACGGCAAACTTTCCAATCCACTCTGTTTTTTTTTATTTCAAGTACTTTTTATTCCCCAAGGACAAGATATATACGAAAAGGTTAATACTTAAATAAAATACCTATTACTATTACTATTTTTTTTACTACACTAAGGAATAGTCGAATTAAGATAGTGTTGAAATAAGTGCATTTATATTAATACTACGTATATCCCCGTGTACTACGTCTTTTTAATTTCAGAGCGAACAAAACTTATTCGCGTCTAACAAAATTACAGCAAACACGTGCCGCATCGACAAACACAATCTAAGTGTAGCGCTATTCCGTAATTAACTGAAATTGTCTGAATCAATCAGAGGCAAAAATAAAACGAAATGCTTAATTAATTGGAAACCCAATAGTCCTCCAAGTTTTCCTTCTCATGCAGACGTGGACGATAATTTTCCATTTTCCTAGTAATTTCCATTAAGCGTCAGGGAAAGATTATTTTTACTGTGCGTTAATCATGTCATTGTGTCAGATAAAAAAACGTTAGTAAAATTTCTAAACCAAGTCATAACATACAGGGTAGCCCATCGAAAACGTACCGCAAGGCATTACAGGGTAGTAAAGAACTTTTCGGCAAAATCCAAAAACAGGTCAAATTTGTTTCTGAGGGGAACAACTTTTGGCTCAAAAAGCATACCAAAATCTTCAACCCCCTAAGTGGGGGTGCTATCCCCTAAATTTTTTCAAATGGGAATGGGGGTCAAGTGGGGGGTCATTAGAAAGGGCTTTTAATTCTCTATACATCGATTCTTACTTTTTGAAAATCGATTCATTATTTTAGAAAATATGCAGCTTTGAAAATACGAACAATATTTTTGACGAGAAATGCGAAAATCGATTTAATTTTACTTCAAAACTTACGGTATTAGTCAAGTAAATGCTGAAAATGTTGTCCGCCAACTTGCATACAATGATACAGGTTGTCTTCAAACCGTTGTCGAACATTCTGGAGCACTTGCGGTGTTACTTCGCGACATACATTAATGATTCGTCCTCGCAGATCTTCCAAGGTATCAGGTGGAGTGCTGTAAACTTTGCTTTTAATGTGCCCCCAGAGAAAGAAATCTAAAGGATTTAAGTCGGGTGACCGAGGGGGCCACTCAATTGCACCTCTTCGTCCTATCCAGCGTCCTGGAAACGTCTCATTTAGGTAATTGCGCACATTGAGCGAGTAATGTGGAGGAGCTCCGTCTTGCTGGAAAATCAGTTCGTGTTCATTGTAAGCAGGGTCGTCCTCTATGATATTTGTTAGAGCTGGGTCGATGACATTTTGTAGTAAATCCAAGTACATATCGCCTGTCAAATTTCCAGGAAGGAAAAAAGGACCTACAATGGAATTTCCAAAAATACCTGCCCATACATTCAACTTCTGGGGGTGTTGGGAGTGTGTCTCATGGAAAATCCTTGGATTGGTATCAGCCCAGTAACGACAATTATGGCGATTCACTAAACCATTCAAGAAGAACGTACACTCGTCCGAAAAACACACATTAAAGAGGAAATTATCGTTTATCGCTCGTTCAGTCATTATTTCGCAAAATTGCAAACGACGATCAAAATCGTCTTCATTTAGCTCTTGCACTAGCCGAATCTTATAAGGATGGAATTTGTATTTTTTTAATATTCGTTGGACACTTGTACGACTCACTCCTGTCGCAGTAGCCAATTGCATTGTACTCAGCGTACTATCCATTGCCACTTGCCCCAATACCGCTATTTCCGTAGGTTCATTTAGTACCGGATTTTCAACCTGCCTCTTTTTGTTATGAACGGAGCCAGTTTCGCGAAATTTGGCCACCAATTCGCGAACAATTTTTCCAGACGCATGTTTCTCAGGATGCCGTTGGTTGAACAGTTCGGCGACCCGATTTCCGCATTCATTGTTTTTGAAAAAAAGCTCAATAATTTCTACTCTTTCTGGAATTGAGTACACCATAATTAATCAATTTAAAAGACTCGGCAGTATTGGTACTCTTCAACTACAAGTCACAAGACAGTTATCTAGCAACTTCTTGTGGCCTATCTAAATACGAAACAAAAAGCGGACAATTTTTTGCTCACCAAAATCAGGCTAAAGAATTCGCAAATCAGAAAAAAAACAGCGAATTCTTTTGAAGGAATTTACCAAGCTAATACCGTAAGTTTTGAAGTAAAATTAAATCGATTTTCGCATTTCTCGTCAAAAATATTGTTCGTATTTTCAAAGCTGCATATTTTCTAAAATAATGGATCGATTTTCAAAAAGTAAGAATCGATGTATAGAGAATTAAAAGCCCTTTCTAATGACCCCCCACTTGACCCCCATTCCCATTTAAAAAAATTTGGGGGATGGCACCCCCACTTAGGGGGTTGAAGATTTTGCTATGCTTTTTGCACCAAAAGTTGTCCCTCTCAGAAGCAAACTTTACCTGTTTTTGGATTTTGCCGAAAAGTTCATTACTACCCTGTAATGCCTTGCGGTACGTTTTCGATGGGCTACCCTGTATATTAATTTTAATTGAGGATTTGGTACTAATTGTATAATGACAATGGTTAGTTTGGTTTGCAGACTACAGTGGCAGTTGTCAATAGCTGAGAAATTTTTGTGTTCTTTAGAATAAACTCTGAAACTTAGTCTCACAGTTTCTGTCTGTCAAAATGTTAGGAAAACTGAACCAATAATGTATAAACTAGCCCTCAAACTCCTTAACCAATAATAATGATTGTTTATTAATACGGTATGTCTCAAAGTATACAAAGGTCTAACAACTAATCGACAATGGAACCTACTAGATATTAAATAATATAAAAACTGGGTGATCCTTAACCTTAGTGCATACATTTGTGAAATCTACACGTGATAACATGAAAGAAAGTTCACTAAAATTAGTTAGGGAACTATGATCATGATGTCGGAACCAACTCTTGCGATGGTCTCTGACAAGAAGGTTTCACTTCCACAAGTCATTTAAGACTCGAATAGAAGATCAAAGCAAATGAGAATAAGTTTGATACCCTGGAAAGATGGAGCCTAGTATGGTTTACGGACGGCTCCAAAATGGCCAGAGGGATGGGTGCAGGAATATATGGAGTTAGACCTAGATGGAATGCAAGCTACAGTCTGGGAAGGGTTCCAAGAAGAAATATTTTTGCGATGATGGCGTGCCTAGTAGAGAATGTACGTAGAGGTTATAAACGTAATATATATTTTCTGATAGTCAAGCTGCAATTAAAGCTTTAGGCTCACACAAGACAAGTTCAGAATTTGTGTGGGATTGTTTAAAAATTCTGACTGAACTGGCCACCAATAATACAGTTATACTGTGTTGGGTGCCAAGACACAAAGGCATTTGTGGGAACGAGAAAGCGGATGAACTTGCTAGGAAGGGATCCGAGACAGAGTTCATTGGTCCGGAGCCATTCTGCGATACATCTCTCAGTGTGGTCAGGCGGGCTCTGGGCAAATGGACCGAAACAGAACATAGGAAATACTAGACTTCGAGGCCAGGACATAATTATTTTAAAGAGCTCATGGAGTATCCTTTGAAGGAAAGAGCAAAAAAGTTGCCGAGCTTGAAAGGAAACATTAGGAAACATCTACATAGGCTATAAAGCTTGTAGACAGTCCGGTCTGCCGAAGATGTGACTCGGCGGATGAAACTTCTCTGCATATCCTAGACGAGTGCCCGGGATTTGCACATAGTAACATGACGCTCCTAGGGAGACCCTAGGGAGCTGAGAGAAGTGTCAGCAAAGAAGCTTTTGGACTTTGTTAATAGGACAAAACTACTTGCTGAATAAGACTTATCAAGACCAAACACTAGGAAAGGAAAAAGAAGAAGAAGACTCAACAAAGTTCTCGACTGTTCCGACAATGTTCTATTCTAGAAAATTCGGTGTCGGAAAGGCGAATTTTGGTACGCTTACGTATAACAAGACATTAACAGAAGCAAACAGTAAAGACTGGAAGTAAATATTAAATTCAAAGTGAATAGTTCAGTAGAAATAATGTTACAAAATTGAATTGAATTATTTGAATTGAAATTTTTTCTTTTTTTTTCAAAAATGATTGGTTAAAGATAACTGTTAAAGAAAACTTTTTCTTTGGAATTGAAATATGAATCAGAATGCACTGATCCAATTCCCAATAAAAAAAACTCAATGACGTAAAACTTTTGCGGTTTTCAATTACAGTTCCTCCCTGTATCTTTCATCGTTGGTTGATACATTTGTATAACAATTCAATAAATTGTTCACTTTAATTAGTAAAAACGTAACCCAAGATCATCAATGCGCTTAAAATATTTGCAGACATATTTGAGAAAATGTGGATTTTTTAAATAATTTCTACACCCTGTATCTAGGAAGACAGCAATTTCAGACCCGTAATTCATTAAGACAGGCCCCTGAAATTATGACATAGACATGAAAAGATACCCTATCTACTCAAGTAGTGGTTGGTAACGGTTTGCGGTACTCATCCTTCTCCTTGCTTCCGATTCCACCAAGCTGTCCTCTAACAGCTGCGGTCTCCACTTCTGTCGTTGGTAACGGTCCATATACCAAATCAGTGTATTTTATTTTATTTTATTATATTGAATATTAAGCTTAATAAAGAATTGTTTACTCCATCTTCTCGTATTTTATTACTAGATATTAATACCGGCTTACTCCAGGAAGCAACTCGGGCACGAAGTTGTTACGAAAGTTATATAGGTACATATATTTTCTAAGTTTTGAACGTTTGCAAACAATGTGTGCCTTAACTGCTTTAATGAAGTTTTTCCAAATATTCAAATATGTAAAAAAATATTTTTGTTTCAGGATTCCATAAGCAACTCCCAGAACCAGTTTCCAGCGAAGAATGTCGGCGCCTTCAGTATCGTAGGAAAAGTGATTCAGTAAAGAAGCGGGTGAAACAAAACTTTGAAAGTATATGGTTAGTTACTGAGGACATACAAATAAAATCATTGAGCTATAATGCAGATTAGTTATCCTTATGTTTAATAACTGGAACACTTTTATACGTTTATACAGAAAATTTTCCTTTTGTTGCAGAGGTACATAGATATATGTTTTTCGTCCTTGATCATAGAAACAAATTACATAGTAGTAATACTGCACGCTCTAGAACTGTCATGTATGTAACACATACGGTAACAGAAGAAATGTTACATAATTTAAAAATAAAAAATTTTAAATACAGGAAATTATAAGGAATACTAAAACATACCAGCAAGGAAAACACGGTATAAAAACTACACTGGAATATTTCTACGGGCATATATTATATTCTTTGAAAAAAAAATCTATATTATAGAACATTAATACATTTTACTAGATTTTTTCCACCATTTCATGCTGTCATTAAGTGTTTAAGCAAATCTATATACATATAAAAAATTCGATTATCTTGATTTTTTTTAAGTTATAAAGTGATTATTATTCGATTGATCAACTCTGATGGTCCTATTTTTTTAAATTAGAAAAAAATCCGGATCTGATGGCGTAATTTTGATGTCAAATTCTGGTCTACCGAAAATGAAGCTTTTTTTGTATGTGCCCGAATAATTAGTAAAATAATGCATGTAAGACGCTTTGCAAGGGGTTGCAAAAGATAGAACATAGTACCAATCTAGATCCTGGACCTTTATTTATTCATACATACTCAAGAAAAAGACCTTTATTTAAAAAGTTATCAAAACAATACAAGACAGATTACTATTGCAGGCAATTTTATGATATCCAAAAAATAAAAAGTGTCACTAACTTTAAATATTATTATTTTCGAAAATTGTAATCGATAGAAGCCAAATGAATTCACGTGAATTGGTGGCATTTTATTAATTAATTTTAAGAGCTCGGAATAATATCAGAATATACCATTTTAGCTCCCACTCAACAGTCTTTTCATTTTTTCATGTTTCCAATAGTTACTGAGATAATCTATAGGTAATAAAGACACTGTTAATTAATTCACCAAATGCTGTACAGTTAAAATGTAAAACTAATATTAATCTATTGAATGATGTATTCAATTTGCCACGCTAACGAAAATTTCTAGGCGTTTAGAGTCTATTAACATATCAAACAATGTAAACGTCATGCCGTATAATTAAATGTAATCCGATACTAGCACTGTCTCCACAAAACGAACACATATTGCTTACGTCTTTGTTCAAAAACTTTTAATTTGTACTCTAATTGATTTGTATAGCAAGCTAAGGTGAATTAATTAAAACTAACGTTATAGTTCAGGTTTAATAGATTATCGGATTATTTTCTAAAAATAGTGCGAATCTTTTAGTGGCGTATTAATTCGTCATAATCTGAACCTTCAGTAAAACAATAATTAAGAAACACTTTTGGTCTGGTAGTGAAGCAAAACTACCAATAATATCATTTAAAAAAATCAATACCTACTTATAGGCAAGATTTAATGAAGAAGGCAGAGAAGTTAACTCGTTTATGAGATACAAATAATCTAAAAAAAAAAAAAGAAATTAAATTTTCAACATTTTGTTTCTGAAGAGCTGATATTTTAGGGCAAATTTTATCATTTCAAGCAAATATAATATAAAAAAAGGCAGTTAATAAACAAAACATATATTTTTTTAAAGTTGTTTGGAAGATTTCATTAAATCATCTTTTGTAATATCGACAAGGATCTGCCATTAAAGGGTTTTACTCTATTTTTAAATTGTCGGTATAAATAAACCACAAAAACCAGAAAGAGTTAAAAATTATGCCTATATAAGGCTACGTTTGTTGATATTCTGTTCGACAAACATAGGTTTAATAAAGTTTAAGATGAATCATAAAATGTATATTGAAATATTTTCAGTCATGTCTCAAATAAGTATTTTAGTGCAAAATGATTATTTAGAAAATGTGGGACTGTACCAACTTATGGGAATTCTACAGTGCGTTTCATTAAGCATGTGACAGCGTAATGGGTTTCTTATATCAAAATAGAGCGATCAAGCTAAATATATCTATATTAAATGTTACTTGTCTTTTTTCAAAGAAGAAATTCAAATTCACAATTTAAATAAAAAGTTTCTGTTTCACTAATAGACCAGGCGGTATCTGTTTTGGCTTGGGTGAATCGTATATCCACGGAGATTTTTGGCTTTTTGGCTTTCAAATATCACTAGAAATGAAAATTTTTCTATGCGCATAAAAAAAACGTGGGCTTAACTTTTGACGGCACAATATGTTAAAAAAATTGGAAAAATGTCATATTTTTCTTCCTATTTAATTATGTATCTTTTTAAGAGTTGATTTTAGGCGAAAATGGAAGAGGAAAAACATGTTTGTAATTAAATTTTTTACAATACATGACTGGTTACAAATCGAATGAATCATGATTATTATGGTAAAAATCGAAAAAATCACAAAAATGGGGTNATTTTCGCCTAAAATCAACTCTTAAAAAGATACATAATTAAACAGGAAGAAAAATATGACATTTTTCCAACTTTTTTAACATATTGTGCCGCCCAAAGTTAAGCCCACGTTTTTTTTATGCGCATAGAAAAATTTTCATTTCTAGTGATATTTGAAAGCCAAAAAGCCAAAAATCTCCGTGGATATACGATTCACCCAAATATGGCTTTTTGAAACAAATACCGTCTGGACTATAATCAAATCAAACAATTACGGCTGTTTTTTAAGGTACGGTCATCAAAATCCAAATAATTTTTTTTCTGTGCATGAAATACTTTATTTTGTGAAGTGAAGTCAATTTATTCAATCATGTAATAATCTTATTTTAAATTTAAAACAATAATAATTACAAAATAGCTCCTATTCCGAATAAAATGGAACATTCTTTTTTCTTCGAAATGCAATTGCGATTCAAATACGCTGATTGAATTTTTGAAGTAACTGCACTGTATCTAGGCTCAATAGTGAATTTTTAATTTTATTTAGTTAAATCAGTATATTTCATCAGATTATGTTAAACGCCTTCAGAAATATTTGCATAAATGCTACAAAATATGTCAATAATTTTAACACTCTGTATCTCGAAAACTAAGCCACTTACGAAAGAACTTTAAATCAGCACTTTTTTATGAAATCATGTGAAGTAGTGTGTCTTCGAGTATTTCAGATTTATTTAGAAAATACCCTGTTCGGGCACAGTGTATTCATATGCGTGAGTGATTTAAAAAAAAAAGGCACGCCATGTTATTTCCAGTTATCAGGTTTTTCACCATCCATTTAGTGCATCAGTTTTTCCCAAAGTTAAGAACGTCTTCATCATTGTAGTCCAAACTATCGATATCTAAAAGACAAAAAAATATATATGCTATAATTTCTACCAAAACACTTTTGTATTAATTTCTTTACGATAAGAAGATAAACTTTGTATTTGTGTGACATATAACTAGATATCGGAAATATTAGGGCGGCTGCAATATGGTACAGGGTGGGCTGTAGGACGGGTTCGCTTTTATGTAATTTTATTCAAACAAAATGTGCCTTCTTATGACTCCACTCTTTACATTATAGGAATATATGTATATGTAAGCATTTGCATAATAAAATGAAACAAAAAGGAAAAGAGTCTTTTTTCTACACTTAACGTTCCACAAGGAACTTACCATAAAATATGTTGGTATAGTACTTAATAATAATTACCAGCAACAGTTAAGAAAATAATAATTTCTTACTCATAACGAAAACGATTGTTGAAAATAATTAACAGTTATCCTAAGTGTTCCGTAATTAATCGTCTCCGGCGATCGGTAAACACCCAAAAACGAAAAATATTTACCGTGGTCACAGGCGCATATCTAAAACAATAGAAGTTTTTAATATATGCTATTTTTACTAATGGTGGCGAAACATCAACTACTTCACATTCTAGTAATCAAACTATCCGCGTCATTGTACAATAAATAACATGTACATGTCTGCCTGTTATCTGAAGCTTCGCATCGATCAATTTATTCGATACGTATGCCCTAATGCCTGCCCTGTCTGCCTGTCGTGCCGGTGAATAATAGAGGTGTTTGGCCGTGCATTCCAATGTCGTTTACTACTGTTTATTTATAACAGAATATCTTTTTTACAGCAAATAAATTGACCAAAGCCGTCTTTGTTTTCTCGAAATGTCTGTTATGAAAAAAATATGGTGAAAAATAAGAGTGTTGTTAACGACGTCTATTAGATAAAAATTACCTCCCTTCGAAATACCAAGTTGAACTAATAACTTAAAAGACCTGTAATTGTAAATTAAAACGGACAGGAACAATATATGATTTTTGGCTCAATTGCTTTATTTTGATAAGAGGAATCTGGAATTAAACTGTACAACCTAGTATTTTACTTAGAGATAAAATTCTCATCTTTAACCATATGGATTTACAGGTCTTAAGTATAAAGTAGTAGTATGTATAATTGTAATGTAAAACCAGTTCACATAATTACCTACTTTTTAGAACTGTTCCCTTTTCAGTGACGCACAAGTTTCGGACGCTATACGGCAGTGGCTGAGAATGCCCACCTTCGACGCCAGGCCCTGGGAAGACGAAGAACTACTCCTCCTCCTGCAACAAATGTATCTCGATCATGATCTCTGTTCGAAGTTTGCCATTGATATTACTACTTTAAGGAATTTCCTGTACGAAGCTTACAAAAACTACAACGACGTACCCTTTCACAATTTTAGGCATTGTTTCTGTGTTGCGCAAATGGTAAGTAAATATTCGACACGACGTGTTCTAGCATTCAAGCCCTTAAGTATACATAGTTATTTCTCTTACAATAAAGAAGGTTTATTGTTGTAACTAAAATATTAAATATATTTTTGAAGTAAAAAAACCAGTAACACTTTGCCCAATAAATTAAAACATTAAGTTTTTAACCTAAATAACACAATTTAAAAAGTATAAAGTCAAGTATATAGTTTTATTTGTTACTAGCAACCCGCCCCGGCTTCGCACGGGCAAATATAAAATAGCCTATGTTACTCCGAGGAGATGTAGCTTTCGGTAAAATTGGTTGAGTAGTTTTTGAGTTAAATCGTAACAAACAAAAAATCAATCATCTTTCATCTAATGCGACCCTAATATTAATTTTAAAATAATTCACGATATATCTATATACCTAAAGACAACAAACGAACTCAAAACTAAAAATGCAAAACCTTTAAATTTAAAACAATATAGGTAACTACCAACAATGTGAAAACAAAACGAATTAAATTAAAGTACCTATGTTCAGGACTATCAATTTTAATTAATAAGTAAGTAGTTAGGTATCTAACTACCTAAAGAAAACAAACACGAAACAAAAATGCGACTATGAAGTTTTAAATGATTCACAATAAGAAAAAAACAAACAAATTATTAAAACTCAATGAAATAAAAGTATGTTTGCAAGTATCTATGTATGTTCCGACTACCTAAAGACAACAAATACAAAACAAAAATGTGACCTTAAAATATCGAACGCAATTATAACTTTCCAACAACACCCAGAAAGAAAACACAGTCGTCAGTCGTCACCTCCATTCGCTCCAAGTCAGTTTATTAAAGGATCACGCGCGCGTTATCGTTCGGCTTATTAGCTAAACAGTAGGCAAGACGGTGCGGGGGGAGGGTCGGCGATCGCATCAAGCGAAGCGAGGCGCTTGAATTTTATTCTCGCGTCCGTAATTTTTTTGCGATTACTCCTAAGATATTCATTTAAATTATATGGTGTAAAAGAGTAAAATAATGTGCATGAAATGCTTAAAGCCTCTAACTTATTTAAAATGATAAGGATTAATACCGTATTTGTGTAAATAGCTTTTACATTACCGCTTTATAATTGCCAATTTTTTAAAGTATTAAAATGGATATAGGTAGTATGTTATCTTTAACATATAGACATATGCCATCGCGGACTTTTCTGTAGGCATATATAAGATACACAATTCCACCATACATTGATACACTACATAAACTTTCGGACCCCCCCGGCTCGGACGCGAGGCGCGGGGTCACGGGGCGCCCGCGCGGCCCGGTCGAATCACGGCGACACGAAATTAATTTCGTTGCGCATTATTTTGATTTTGCTATATCTCCTAAGGTATTCATTTAATTTGCATGGTGTAAAGGGAAAAAATAATCTTCATGAAATGCTCAAGCCAACTAACGTATTTAAAATGATAAGGATTAATACCGTATTTGTGTAAATAGCTTTCCAATTACCGCTTTATAATTGCCCATTTTTTAAAGTATTAAAATGGATATAGTATGTTATCCTTAAGAGATAGACATATGCCATCGCGGACTTTTCTGTAGACCTATATAAGATACACAATTCCACCATACATTATTTTGTTATATCTCAAAGGATTTAGGCAGCGTTTTCGTTGAAAGCTCCCAGACGGCTTATTTTTTTCCGACACCTCCAACAAATATCGTTAATGTATACAAAAACTTAACAAATTATATTATACTAAAACCTTCCTCGAGAACCACTCTATCCATTGGTGAAAACAGCATGAAAATCGCGAACAGACAGACAGACAGACGCGGCGAAGGACTTTGTTTTATAATATGTAGTGATACACTGAATGTCCTTTCCGAAAAATGCTAATAAATTTAAAAACATGTGCAATAACAGTAAGGCAACGTTTCGCATTGTATTAGCTATTTCCTGTCCAAATTTGCTTTGTGCATCTCTCTGGGTTGCGAAAATTCAATATGTATGTATGTTTTCATCCACGAAAATTGAATAATTCCAAATATTTCAAATTTTCACCATCAGTAACGGCGGTGACAACTTTTTTAACAATAAGAAGATGTTTCACATTATATGTCTTGTTCAAATTTGGTTAGTGCATCTTTCTCGGTTGTAAAAATGTAATGATTATCTTTTATGTACTACTTAGGTGTAACTCCAATAATAATATTTTCTTTGTTATTTTAGTTATACGCGATATCGTGGTGTGTAGACCTCCCCTCGAAGATAGGCGACCTAGAGGTATTGATCCTACTGACTTCCTGTATATGCCACGATCTAGACCATCCCGGCTACAACAACATCTATCAAATCAACGCCAAGACGGAATTAGCGATCCGGTACAATGACATATCGCCCCTGGAAAACCACCACTGCAGCGTCGCTTTCAGAATTTTGGAGAATGAAGATTGCAACATATTCAAGTCTTTCAGCAGCGAGGATTTTAAGCAGGTGCGGGAGGGGATGATCCGCTGCATCCTCGCCACCGACATGGCTAGGCATAACGAGATCCTCACGAATTTTAAGGAAATCCTGCCGAGCTTCAATTACAACGACAAGGCGCACGTCAATTTGGTAAGCAGGCTTGTGTACTTTAATATCGAATGGTACGTCTGAACTCCTTATCAGGAGCAAAAAATATGTTTATTTGTAATGTCTCTTTTGTATAAGATATGAAAAATTTTATTAGGAAAAGTCCAGAATTAAAATGTACCAAATTTGAGAACAATCAATTTATTTCGACTTTTTCAATTTCTACATTTTATGAAAGTGTTCTCTTCATATAAATGATGGGAAAAAACAATTGTTTAGAGTATGATAAATTTAGAGGCAATTGGTTCTGATCTTACTTAAAACAATGTCAAACTAGCTCGATTGTCTTAAAAGTTGGAATAAGAACATTTTTGTTATTAATTAATAAATTGTGAATAACTTTATCAAATCAGAAACTTTTCACTTACAACACTTATTTACTTAAAAAAATGATATATGACCAAAATACTTCTTAATGAAGCAGGCTTATTTTGCAGTCATATTTCAACTAAAAAAGTTCTGTTATTGGTGCCTACTGTTAAGATGATTTGGGTATACCTTTTAGGTACATATTGAATATTGGGGAAAAGATTAATCGTTTATATGTATGTTTCTGAAAGGATATAGAGCATTATTAAGTTCTAAGGATAAAGTAGGATACTATGTTTATAATTATTTCCTAATAGGGGACACCCCGTATACAGGGTGTGGCGAGTATAATCTATAAAAATTAAACTACAGCTTCCTGATGATATTTGTAATAGAAAACTCTTATGCGAAAAAGTTCTATCTTCGCGATTTTTTTGTAAATTAAAGTTCATTTAATCAACGAAAATGAAGGCCGACCCTGTGTTATTTATTAAAAATTTTGGAAATGTTTTTATGGGATCCGAAATGCAACCTTATAATTTAAGTCGGTATAATCTAATACTAGTAATACTAAAATAAGGTTAGGTTATATTGTCAAAAATTTTTTGCAGTCAACTGATTTTGTATTTGTATTGAATTCATTATTCACTTAATTATTAAATATTAAGCGTCGTCCATCGACCGATCAGTGTTAAAAAGTGAAGGATTCCAGACAAAAGATTTTATTCCATGATAGTGACAGTATAATTTCTATAAAGAAGTACAAAATAAGAATACCGTGCCGATTACATTAAAAACGAGATTCTTATGTCTTACTTTGCTTAATTTTTTAGTTTGTGCACAAACTAGTTTTACAATGAACCGAAAAAACAATGCATTTACTATTTCCGAACGTGTCGATATGGTATTAGTGTATGGTGCAGCCGGAGAAAATGCGCTCGCGGGGACTAGGTTGTACCGGGAACGGTGGCCACGTCATCCCCCATGTGCAAATACAATCCTACAGTGCGTTCAGTGGCTGCGAGATACGGGAAGTGTTATTCCACGGGGAGAAGGACGTGGTCAGCAAGTAAACCTTAATGTTGAAGATGCAGTGTTGGAAAATCTTGACGAAGACCCCACAATTAGTACTAGACGAGTCGCACAGCAAATAGGAACATTTTCTTGTACCGTACATCGCATCTTAAGGCGCCAGCTGTTACACCCCTATCATTTGCAACTAGTTCAACAGATTTTACCCCCGGATCAACGAATGCGATTTTGCAGATGGTTTTTACGGCAATGTGCCGTGCCAATCAAGTAGACTTTCCTGCTTATGTTTGTGTAACAGATGAGGCGACATTTACCCGTGATGAAATGAATTTCCATAATATACACATATGGGCCGATGAGAATCCTCACGCGATTAGGGAAACTCATTTTCAACATCGGTTCTCGGTAAATGTTTGGGCTGGCATAATAGGCGATGTACTTGTGGGTCCCTATTTCTTTGAAGAACGACTAAATGGTCCAACATATGCTGACATTTTGAAGAATCGGTTGCCTGAATTATTGGACGATGTGGCATTACAACTTCGAGCACGCATGTTTTATTTTCAAGATTAGGTTCTTCCACACAGTACTCAACATTTCAACATTTTCTCTAGAAATGGTAAGTTTTATTTCATTTTGTTCCATATTTGAATGGAGTTTGTTTAGTGTACGCAGTTGGCAACTACAGATGCTTATGGATGTGGTTTTGTTGGCGAACTCTTGCATTAACAACAATGCATTTAAAATAGTTATTACTATTAATTATTATAAGAAAATATCAGTTTTTTTTAAATATCCATCTTTCTTAGTTTGCATTGAAAAATTCTCCAAAAATTAAGAAGTGTCTTTCTATCTTCCAACGACAATTTTTTACACGCACGTATCGTACAGCACACGGACAAGACCGTTCCAGAGAAAATATTTTGATCCATAAAAATTATGGATCCAAAAATTATGGATCCAAAGTAATACCAATATAACATTTCCTCTTTCTTCAATTAAGCCCAAGTACAACCTTAATTTTAAAAAATGTAACTTTAATTTACTATACCAGGAGTTCACTAATGTTGACTGGACACCACTTTCTAACATTGTAAACATAAACTTAGTAATTGATGAGTTCTATAGCATATTAAATACTTTGCTTGTACAACATGTACCTGAAAAGAGAGATGTTCGTGGCCAGTACCCAGTTTTGTTTAATGGTGAAATCATTAGGAAACTAAGGTTAAAAAACAAACTGTGGCGAAGTTATAAATTATCTTCTAACATTTATGATTATAATAAATTCAAAAAATTAAGATCTGAAGTCAAATCATTAATTCATTTATCCTGTAGGGACTATTTGGTATCAATTGAAGAAGACTTATGCGTAAATCCAAGACGTTTCTGGTCATATATTGGCGCTAAAGCAAATACTACGTCTGTTCTCTCATACATGAGTTATAATGACATAATGTTGGATGATCCCTCAGATGTGGTGAATGCATTCGCTGACTATTTTTCGAAGGCTTTTGGCAAGAGTTCTGCTCCTTTGTCCAACTGTGATATTATTGTAAATCATGACTTACTACGCATTCCTGAAATATCTGAAGATGATATTATACGTGCCATCAAAAAAATTAAAGGTAACTTTACTATGGGTCCTGATTTAGTACCTGCCTTCTTGGTAAAAGATTGTGGAATAATTTTTGCTAAACCGTTGAAAATAATTTTTAATACCATTCTCAAGTCTGGTGTATTTCCAGAATTATGGAAACTTTCTAGAATATGTCCCATCTATAAAAAAGGTCACAAAAATAATATAATGAATTACAGGCCCATTGCAATTATAAGTAATTTTTCAAAAATTTTCGAATTAGTCATTCACAATCACTTGTACTCTCATGTGGAAAAATATATATCTCAATTTCAGCATGGTTTTGTTAAGGGACGATCAACGACGACAAACTTAGCCAACAAGGTACAATATATTTCCGAGGTGCTGGATAGGGGTGGTCAGGTGGACGTGATATATACTGATTTTTCGAAGGCATTTGATCGGCTTAACCATGATTTGCTGATTTATAAATTACATTCAGTGGGTGTATCTGATGATCTCTTAAATGTGTTTCGCTCCTACTTTGCCAACCGTTTTCAATTTGTTCAATATCGAGGCTTCCAATCAGATAAGTTTCCGCAATTGTCAGGCGTTCCTCAGGGGTC